AACTCTTAGAAAACCCTAAAAATAAAAATAAAGTCAAATATTTAAGATATTATGAAATATATAATACAAATTAAATTTCAAAAATATATTTTCTTACTTTTTCTTCAATTTCGGATGATAATTCATCAATGTTTTGTGTGATTGAATGACTATCAAATGTACCAGTTAAGTGAAGATAAACAATCCCGCCTGGCTCATCATAAAAACACTCAATCGATGACTGAAAATCAACCGTATCATTATTATTATGTACTTTCAACATTTTATCATAGTCATATTATTATAAGGTATACATTAAATAAGAATATTTTTTTAGACTTAATAACTATTGATGAAGAGAAATATTAAAAAGTTTTATTATTTATACCATTGAATAATTATAGATATCAAATAAAAGATAATTGAATAAAAATATTACAATTTTATACTATACATTTTTTTTTTTTTTTTTTTTTGGTACAGCATCAACAACTTAGATTATTAGCTTACAACAATAATAATATTAGCTACATAAGAATGAGTACATTGAATTTCCTAGATTTAACTGATCATTCAAAGGTCCAATAAGAAGAAGATTTTTAATAATTTGTTACCTGAAGTTTTGAATTTGAAGTTGCTTCTACTAAAGATGAATTAAATATTGGCCGATCGTAGAAATCATTCACAAATCGAGCCTTGCATGATTTTGAGACTAATGAAGATTTTCCAAATATAGAAACAATAATAGTTGGTTTGGTATTATTTTGAATTGAACTGAAATAAAGGTAATTTATATTAACAAACAAGTAACGGATGATTAATTAAACATAGAAATGTACCATTTTTTGTAAAGTTCTATTACCATATTTATGCATGCAGTGACTATCAACATTTTGTTAGATTATTATAATAATTTAAAACATATTGTTCAACATTCTTAAGGGGATTGGAAGCAGTAATTTTCTGTCTATGTCTAGCACAAGTGTGACATAAGAATTTAGACTTATTTTCATTCCAAATTACCGAATGATCTAGTGAAGCAATAATAATTCTAAAAACAAATTTGAATTTGTCATCAATGCTACTTGGGATTGACTTTCTCAGATTTTTAATTTTTTAATTATTACTTCTCCAAACATTTAAATATTCTATTTCATTTTTTAGTACGTATTTTTTTAGAATTTTGAGAGATAAAATCCTAAAGTGGCAAAGTCGATATCAAGTAGATATGATGTCAAATTCATATCGCTTCACAAGATTAATCAGTACGTCTAAATTTCTATGCTCAGCATGTATTAGACAAAATAAAAAAATCACCGATTCCAATCCCCTTAAATCATATTTTTAATTAAAACTTAAAATCTCGAAAAGTTTTCAAACAAGAAAATTAACTATATAAAGTATATAGTTTAGTTTTTGTTGAAAAATTTATAATAATAATTTACTATTTTAGAGATTAACAAAGTAATATTGATTTAATAAAAATTAACAATAATTAATAAGTATAATTCTACATCATTATTTTTTTTTAATTATAGGTATTTATAGTTATGTATCTTAATGACATATTTTATGAATAGAAATATATAAATAATTAAAGCAATATTGGGATAGACAAACTAATAGTTATAACTTATAAGTAATAATAAAATCAATAGAAATATCAAGTTAAACCATTATTAATTTGTTTTAATATATTATATTATTATCTACTTTACACATTTTTTACCTGATAAAATTTTCGTCAAAAGGCAAAGATATTTTCTTATACTTCATTTTTTTACAAAAATCTCACAAGTTACAGTTCTAATACTAAATAATTGTTCAAAATAGATCACAACATTCACAACATCACATATGACAGAAAAAGTATATTAAAAAAGTTTTGGTAGTTATTAATTTGGAATTATAGACAAATCACGTATCCATGTACTGTGTAGGTGAAGTAAATAATAAATATTTAAATATTTAATATACAATTTGCTTTATTTTTTAATTTTAAAACAGATAATATTATTAATTTTTTTAAAACGAATATGATAAGAATCTAGATAACGGTATCAATGTATCATCGGTAACATAATTGTTCTATGGTAACACGGTTTTCGTGTATGGTAACAGGAGTCATGAACACGGTTTTAAGATTCTATTTAATAATAGAAATATATAATAATTAAAAAAAATAAATATAATAATTATTATATTAATAGTATATTCAACTACTATTCCGTATTGCCGTATCCGTTTGTTTAGGTACTTCGGTATCGTTACGAGCCTATAACATAGAGCAGGGGTCTCCAAACTTTTTTATTCAAGGGCCACAAAAAAAATCAAATGCTCTTAGCGGGCCAAAAGTTTATTAACACATATAATTTTTAATTTAATTATAATATAGGTACCTATCTAAATAATATGTTTACTTTATATTTTTGTATAAAATATTGTTTACTTTACAATATACTTAAATAAAAATAAATAGGTATAAATATAATATGATATAAATACATTTTTATCTATATTTAACTGTGCGTCCTATGCGGGCCACGGGCCGGTTAAAACTTGTTCGCGGGCCGTAGTTTGGAGACCTATAACATGGAGTAATTCTTAGATCATATTATATTATTCAAATTTCAAAGATATAATATACTAATATTATTAACTAGTATTAGTATAATATATCTGTGATAGTATTATAGTCTATAACATATTAACATAATATTAATATCTATTAGTCGTAGTTGTTCTACATTTTATTATTTTAGCTAGTTTTAGTATCGGGCAGTGCCGCAAATCGCAATTAGGATTCTCGGGGCCCCGGACAAAGTCAATGTAGATATGGAGTCCTCAGGTCTATGTACATAATATTGTTTATATCTTACCTAATACCTATACAAAAATAAATAATGATGGTGATTTTTTTTTTAAAAGCCTTTTTTTTTTTACAAGAAATATACAATCATTACAATCCATCCATATTATGCACAATAAGTCTATTATGTGAGATTAGAGAAAAAAAACATTATGGGGTTACGTGAATAAGGAGCCACCCATTAGTAGCACTTACCTTGGAAATATGTAATCCTTTTGCCAAAGGATTTTCATGGTTTAAAATCCTAAAAATATAATGTAAAGGCCCACTACCCAGTGACCAGTGACCGTTTATAGATAAATATAGATATTATTATGGATAAATGGGGGCCCCGTTCTTCGACAAAAAATTAGATAGCATAAATTATAAAAGTAAATATTTTTATTTGATATAAACATTAGATTACAATGCAATTATTTAAAAATTTTAAATAGATGTTAGGCGGGCGCCGTCGGGGCCCTCCGAGTCAACGATTAGCGGCCATCTACAGGGGCATTACCCCGGCTGCTCCTGCGGTTGTCGCGGCACTAGTGTTAAGCCGCGTACACACTTGTAACATTTTCTGTAACGCCGTTCCACCAATTGTCGGTAAATTTGGCTGCATCAAAGGATGTTACGCGCAAATGTCACAAGTGTGTACGCGGATGTAGGCCTCTCTTCCAGACTGTATCAGTGTATCCTAGGCTGATGGATAAGGTCCAGGAAAACTGCACCGGACTTTTCCTGTCTTTGAAAACCATTTTCTATATGTGTGTAGCTATAGAGCAGCTAGCGCTTAATCGCAGCAGTTTCTGTTCTTTATAAAACTGTTCTGTTCAACTGGCAAGGATGTTTCTATTAGTGACTGTAAACTTGATAGAATTAGCCTTTCGAACAGTTGATGAAAGCAGTGATATTGGTCCAAGACTATTGGCGTCCGTGGGTTCTTTAATTAAGCTTTGGGATGACTATAATTTGAGAATAGCGCCCATCCTTTTGAATGTTATTCTTGTTTACTATATTAGTGAATAGTGTTGCAATCCATTTGAAGTTTTTAATTATTATTATTATTCAAATATTCAATAAGTATTAGTGTATTACCTATGTTAGTATGTTACACAGTGTAACTTACGTCTCATGTTAGAATATTAGATTACACTCACACAGTGGCGGCGCCAGAACTTTAATACCAGGTGGGCCAGGCTGGGGCCCAAATTTTTTAGGGAGGGCCAAATTGTTGACTTGATATATATATAAACAATAGTGATGTCAGGCAATTTCGCAGAGGGGTGAGGGGGAGGGTCAACTTCCAATTTTTTTTACACTTCATCGTATAAACTTGCTAAAACAATGATTTGTAAACATGTATTGTATTAATAGTATTTATTTGCTAACAAAATATATATTCATGTAAACACTTTTTGATTTTTATGCTCCCTAACCCATAATTACACTCAATACCAATGAATATTTAATAATAATTTATTATTTTCGTATTCAGCCGCTGGAAAATACACGTTATTTATGAGGCTTGAAAGCATATTATAGTGCATATAGTTTTCAACCCATTCAAAATGTTGTTCACGCCATCTAATATGACTTAATATTTTCATATTTTAATAAATCATGATTTATTCATGAGATATTTTTAGTATTCTAATATGATTAAATTTAATTTTTTGGGTGGGCCACAGGGGGGGGCGGAGACTTTTTAAGGTGGGCCCGGGCCCACCCTGGCCCACCCCTGGCGCCGCCACTGCACTCACAGCAATAAAGACAAAGTTGTACAGTTCAAAAGTTGTACTATCGTTTATATTCGTAATAACAAATAACTAATAACTATAATATCATTGTAATTTATAGCAATAATTACTAAGGATTAAATATTAGGTATAAGTGTACAATTAGTAATTACTACAGGTTACTATAATTCCTAGATTATATTTAAATATACATAATACATTGGTACTTGGTAATGATAGGTAGCAACAGTAATTAATACAAGGAAATTGCGTTGGTGGTTATCGCGTTCAGATTTGTCGGAGAAAACAAAAAGAAAAAATATAAAACACGAATATCATAATAAATGATAATAATATAATCGTCCATCTTTCACCGATATTGCCAGGTTTCATCGGTGACTTCTCCGTTTATTTTCAGCACGTTCATTTTCCTATCCAAGGACTCTGTAAAACTTTCGGAATGCGATTGGCCACCGACCATCATCCACCACCCGGTTGTCAAAGACTAGACTATGGTATTGGTCCAACATATTTAATTCGTGGTCCACCACCGGACACCCAAGCTCCAAGTTCTTACATTTTATATTTCTTTCTCTCGTAAACAGTGATCTCGACGACTGGTCACTAATTTTGTCTAGTTCGTCCGGTTGCATACAAACATCTTCGGTTTGCATATTAATAAACATTTTTTGTTTATTTGTGTACTTACTCTACAACAAATTATATTAACATGTCCAATAATCAACTGCACGACAAAGTCGTGCGATATGCAAACGGTCAGCATCAATCGACGCCGCTGCCTGTGAGTATATTATGGACAACCGTTTTATTGTTCTATAACAATATTATAAGATAGGTACCTTTTTTTTTCTTTTTTATTTAAAAAAAGTATATTTACAATCTATACAAAACAAGGTATAATGATTAATGAGTAAGTGTGGTGACATAAGAACATTTGACATGAAAATAGTAACATTAATAGGAAGGCTCCCAGCACTGCCACCTGATCAGAAAATTAGGCTTTGTTTTTACTTATTTTTAAAGTTTTTTCATTAGTTAATCATTTTTTTTTTCTTAAGCATTGAGCTGGTCTCTTGGCCATTTTCTTTTTAACCTTCTAGGAATGAGTGAGGTAGATGAGCTTTGAGTTTATATCAAGGTCTTTGTGGAGGTTTTTGTTGGTTACATACCAAAGGTCAGAGGTTATTAAGCTTAGGCATATGGATTGGAATACTAGAAGGGTTTTAGACGTTTTAGTGTTTGATGGCTTTGCTGGCCCCCATAGTTGGATGCCGTAAAGCCAAGCCGGATGAATTATCGATTTGTATATCGTGAGTTTGTTGGCTAGAGAAAGTTTCGATTTCAATAGGGGTCTCAGAAGATGCGTTCTACAGTTCACAGATTTACGTTTTTGTTTTAGATGCGAGCTCCAGTCAAGGCATTTGTCAAATATTAACCCTTGGTACTTTACTTTGTCTATAAGATACCTACCTATTATACTATACAGTATAATATCCCAAAAGTCCAGTATCACCCTTAGTATCCCTGTGGAAAATCAATATACCTATTTAAGTTCAGTTTTTTACAGTAATGAGTAGGTATGGTTTTCTTATTGAATGACATAAGATTTAAACTATTTTAACTGTTTTTAAATTTTCAAGATACCCATTTCTTTTAATATATATTTTTTAAACAGTTCAAAAATAATATTAAAATTGTGTGAAAATTGACCAAGTTAAAACAAATTTAGTTTTTGATTTTGAAAAAAAGAATAATAGTTATGTTAATAATACACAAATCACATGATTTAATCAATCTGGCAGATTGTACATTTATGTATTAGTCCATACTCCGTAGTGATAAAATATTTATATAAGCCAGTAAATCTCATTAGTCCGCAGAAATTATTATAATTTATACAACCTTACTTATGACACCAGTCTTTTACACCCATCATACTTGAGATCACATGCAATCACTTTAAGGTAACGGGTCTGCAGTCTTGGATAGTAATCTAAATAAAGTAAGTATTCGGAATACTTTTAAAATACTTTTCCCAAAAGTACCTATTTTAAATAACTATTTTGAATATTTTTTATTTATAATAACTTTCCCTTGTTTTTCTGGAAATGTTCACATATTTTACACATTTTAAATCAAGTATGAACAACTTAAATTATATTATATTTAGAACTATTAAATCATAACAAATTTCCCCCAAAAAGAGTACTATGGGTTTAATATTTAAAACAAAAACTAAAAAATATTTTAAAAGTATTTGGATCACCGTTGAAGCTTTTTGATGTCACCGTCATACCATGTTCGATAACATAATTTTACCTTATACAACTATATTGTTATACTATTATATTGGTTATTTCTTACATTTATTTATTTATTTATGTATTTATACAGGTATGTAAAAATGTTAGAAGCTCTAAAGTCAGCTTAATTCCAACCTCGAAAGCATCACAAATTTCTTCAAAAATAATGGATCGAGATATAAAGTACTATAAAATTGTATTATCTTAATAGCCTAATTTTATTATTGTAATATAGTTTTTATGTATCATTAAAATAATTAATATAATGATAAATATAATAGGTGTCATAGCCCACTTACCAATTTAAGGGCCCGTATTACAATAGTAACTGATTTTACCATCCGAATTCTGCAGTTTAACCGGAAATTGACTATTGTAATACAGGTCCTAACTGATAGGTGGTGACTGGCACAAAAATAAATAAATAAATAATAAAAAAAAAAAACACAATTGTAAAATTAACACACTCATCACTCTGCTCAGAATCTCAAAAAATTAATAAATCCATAATGATCCCATTTTTTTTTTAAATAACAAAGAAATCTAGTGTGGCCATATAAAGCGGAAATAATTATTAAAAAACAAATTTAAAATATTAATACATTATTAACATGGAGAGATATTAAATTAATAATAAGTTGAGGTTAATTTGGCACCCTCTAAACTTATATTCTGCAGATGTCCCCAGTGTTAACACTTTATGTAATATAGGTATGTCTTATGATCTACCTAAATATTATATAATTTTGACACATTTTATTCTTTTTATTTATTTAATTTTAAATTATTTTAAACATTATATTATAATATGCAATATTTTCTAACTAACATACATAGTATTTTTAAAATACATCATCCATAAGCAAATAAAAAAAGTATGTTGGTAACATATAATTAATATATAATATTAAGCAAAATATAGGTATCTACATAAGTAAATTGTGTAAAAACATATTTTAATTATTTATAATAGTATTGATTTATTCTAGCTTTATAAATTGTGTACATTTTTAAAAATTATTTTCCAGAAAAATAGAATCAGTGATTTATCAGAAAGAACAACCAATAGTTCCATTAAATTTAAATATTTCAAAAGAAGTAACTATAACCAGTATAACAAATGTCAATGATACAGAAAATAATATGATATTAAATAAGTTAAAAAAATTACCGGGTATTACAATCGATTTAGTTAAGACTGAACCAGTTTTTAAAGTTCCTGAATCTCCAAGACTTAAAAATAATAAAAAAAATATCACATCACATAATAAATTAAAAGTTTTATTTGAGAAAAAAGGATTATCAGAAAGAAGAAATGATAATATGAAAGCTATGGATAATTGTTTAACTCGTAATATTATAAATATCTCAAACACAAATTTAAGTCCAAGCAAAACTGTAAAACAAAAGCAAATATTTAATAATAAGTCATTGGCAACAACGAGTTCAGATCAAGGAATTTTAAAGAATCCAGAAGCTTCTTTGAAAAAATATCCAGTCTTGGAAAAGGAAAATGTACAAAGAACTAGTTCTCCCAAAAAGCTTCAGAAAAAAGTACAAAGTGTTTCTAAGATAAAATCAAAAAGCTTAAAAACTATAAAACTAGTAGAAGAATCAAATATTTGTAATACTTTCTCTAAAGAAGTGAAAAAAGTTTCAGATAAGGATTCAATTATTAATAACACGGATCTCAATACTAACGAATTGGCTAATGAAAGTTATAGGCTTATGGATTTATCAACTGATGGTCAATTCAACATTGTTCCAGCATCTTTTCCTTCAAATTTTATTAATGTTCATGTTCCTGAGTATAATAGTTTTTTAATGGGAATTGGTAAATCTCCTGAAGACTGTAGTATGCATTTGGAAACTTCTCAAAACGATACTGAAAACGGATCATTTATAATTAAAGAAGAGTTGGATCATTTTTCAGATTTTATAGGTTGTGTCAACACTTCACTAAATATAAATAAATCCAATGATATTCATTCTGAGTTAGCATCTCAATCTTTTATCAATGGGATTTCCTCTCTAGATAATATTAAAGATGAACAATTATGTATAAACAATAAAAGTAAAGAAAACATAAATGGCAAATTTGAAGATGAACAAAAACATACCTCCAACTTTTATTTGTATAATCATACTTCAAAACAACTATCTCTTCCACATAAAGACATGAATTTAACGATGGACACGTACATTAAACAAGAAGACAAACAACTGTTACAAAATGATAACTCATTAGAAAATATTCACAAAAATGGAAGCAATTTAATGGAATTCAACACATCTATACCACAAATACTACCATTTAATACTCATAAAAATTCTTCCTATTTAGAGTCTGATGAAAATGAAAATGGTATTAAAAGAAAGCAAACTCAAAATGAGTTGCATGAAAAACTAAAAAAACAGAAGTTGTGTTAAGGTGTTTTAATATACAGCTTATTTTTAAAAGTTAGATGGAACTACTATAGTATTTAGACTTCTGTACTTTATATTTTTATACTATGCATTTTTATGCATATATAAAAACTTCAATTGTATTTAAACACTTTTTTTCAATCAATTTTTATTTAAAACTACTGTTCTACATTTTTCTATACCTATAGTAAAATTATTTTTCCTAACTGCCAATAATTTATTAATAAATATGGTATTACATTAATTAGAATATAGGGATATTTGAATTTATTAATTTTCTTATCCAAAAACAATATATGTTTTTAAAATAATCATTCTATATTATAAAATATAAATCTATTAACATTTTAGTATATTTAATACTAGTACGTTTTTTTTTTTTTAAATGTATTAATTAAAACCTACTTATCTACATTTTTCTATGCCTACCTAATACCCATAGTAAACTTAATTTTTCTAACTAACAATAATTTTTTAAAAAATGTGATATTACATTAATTAGGATTTAGGTTCCTATTTGCATTTACTTAATTTTCTTTATCAATAAAACAATACATGTTTTTAAATACTTATTAGTTATTACATACCTATTATTATAAAAATATAATTTAAACGTCGACATGGAAATAAATTAAATAAATGTATTATTAAAATGTTAGTGTTTTTATTATATTTTTTATATGTATTTTTATGTATCATGTATATATATTTTTATGAAACAATATACCTAAATTATTTTAGAGATATTTTTTGCAAGCTGAAGCCAATATTTTGGATCCCCATTGACGCGTCTATATTAGTATTACATGGGTTGATTTAATTTTTGCCCTAGACATTTCATTTAATATATTTAATAATTTTTATTTCTAGAATATTATATTATGTTATTAACTTTTGAGTCAATACCACTCTACCGTAGAACCAAGCGCTTTTACAAGAGGTATGGGCCCCGGCCCGGAGGCCATTTTTTTTATTTTTTTTTTGTGTCTGTCATCACGATTTAGGACAGTAAAAGTGCTTTTTTCAACAGTACCTTTTCTGATAGAAAAGTGAATCTAGTTGGTACTTTGGGAGGTCAAAAGTAAAAATGTCTCAGTATTTTTCAAAATCGCAGTGAAAAACAAAAGGAAAATTAAGGAAAAACGGGAATTTTTACACAAAATCTGTTTTCGAGAAAATCGATTTTGGTTTTTAGTGTAACTCTAAATCAAAGTAATGTATATACATGAAATTTTCGCTGCTTAGTGCTTGTTTATATTTGCATTTTCTAAACACGATAAAATTTTTGAAATATTATGATTTGTTTTGAACAGTTTAGGAACATTCTCATTTTCTATTTTTTTTTAGTTTTTTTTCTAAAAATATCAATAAAATTGTATTTGTCGGTTAAAAAAGCTTAATAGAAGGCTCCTAGTATATTGTTTCAAAGGCAGATGAAAAATATTAAAAATCCTTAGTCACAGTTTTTTTTTCTAAGCATTTAAAGTTCATAAATTGACAAAATATGGAAAAATCACGAAAATTAGCAAATTATTTTGAGTTGAAAATTCGTAAAAATTTTTCTTTTTAAATCTAAAGTTTTAAAATGTAATACAAGATTCCTCATAAGTTTGTCTACCTTTATCAAAAAAAAATATCTATAAGAAAGTCAAATTAAATTTTTATGAGCTTTTGATATTCAAATTTTTACAACATTGGATATTCACTCGATTTCTCACGTAGCGATTTCCTTATTTTGTTGTAATTCAAAAACGAATAACTGTAGATACATGAAAATTTCACTGAATGTTTAAATTAGCATTTACTATACACCAAACAATTTTGAAAATATTTTGACTCTGAGCTATTTACGGACATTTACCGCTTTCAATTATTTTAGTTTTTTTAGTTTTTTTTTCTATAAATATCAATAAAGTTTTATCTGTTTGGCCAAAAAGTGTATAAATTAAATACGAGGCTCCTGATATATTGTTACAATATCAGTAGAAAAATATTAAAAATAAATAGCCACAATTTTTTTTTATAAGCATTTAATGATCGAATTTTGAGAAAATTTATCAAATTTATAATTGAATAATTATTTTGTAATTAAAAATTTATAAAATGTTCAACTTTTATATCTAATGATTGAAAATTTAAAACAAGATTCCACTTAAGTAGTTAATTCAGTTACCAAAAAATACATAAACACACTTTATTTTTATAGTCATTTTAAGTTCAAATTTGGACGAAATTACATAATAAAAAACCTAGAATAACTATTTTAGTTATTTTTTTGTGATTGTATAATATTATTCGTGGGTACTTGAAACTTCTAAAGTACATTATTATATATTTATGATAGTATCAGGGTTTGTTGTTGATGTATAACGCGATATAAGTACCTAATGGATATTGGGATATGATTAATTTGGAATTTATATTAGGTAAATTTTTTTTAATACGATAGATAAGAAAATAATATGCCTTATACCTAGACTGACATACCGTCTCCGCTCAAAATCGTTTTTCTTATACAATGATATTATATCATTGAATTAAAATTTAATACTATCCATTATACAGTGACCCACTTGTAACCTACGTCCTACTGTACAGCGGAGCACCTTTTTTTTATTTTATATACCTAGTACACAAGTATAGATTTCTAATTTGGTTTTAATAAGTGGCCCCTTGAAATTTCCTGACCCACAGTTTCCTAACTCTGGATCCGCCCCGCCCCTGAAGTACCTAATGAATATTATGATATGATTAATTTGGAATAATTTTTTTTTAATACCATAGATAAGTATATAATATGTCTTATACCTAGACTGACATACCGTCTCCTCTCAGAATCGTTTTTCTTATACAATGATATTATAGACAAGTTTGTGTACATATTCACGGAAGTTTTTTATAGTTTGTTTTGAAGGTTTGCTTTTATATTATTATTTTATAATATCAATATGCATCAATGCGTGTATGATGATTGATTAATATTTTATTCACTATAAAAACTTTAGTCTCAGCCGTAATATTTATCGATAAAAACAGGTCTACGAAAAACAAACGAAACGCTATAAACAAATGGCTTTAGAAAATACCTATTATGAAATTTATAGAACATAATATTGTCAATATTCATGGCATCCTCATCGGCGTTTTTTGAAAAATGAATTGTTAAGAAATAGTAAAAAAAAAAGGTTTTTGTGCCTTTTATAACGAGCTTTATTTAAAATAGAACAAAATCCCGATGAGGTTGTCTCCAAAATGCCTATACTTTTATGTATTTGAAGTAATTTTTTTTGTCTAGCCCTTCCATTTTATGTTTAAGCGAGGAAGCTGGTAGTTTTACAATGGTCTTAATTTTTTAATTTTTTTATCCTGTATACAAAAGTCTACCAGAAGGATTTCTTCGATTTCAAGTTTCAACATATAGTCTTCATCTTTTATCAAATTGGATCAAGATGGTTCTTTAGAGAGGTCATATTTTGATTTTCTCTACAGTTATTTAACGCCACGGGAAAAACCACGGGCAAATTACGAAAAACCTCCAAGAATGGAATTTTAATTTCTAAGGCTTTGTTTATAATAAAAATAATAATATAATATTAATTCAACTTACAGGATATAATAAATAATAATAAAATAAAATATCCGACTGACAAACCGCCTTCTCTCAGAGTCGTTTTTCTTATACAATGATAATATTATATCATTGAATTCAAGTTTAATAAAAGCCATTATACATTGACCCACTTGTACATCAGAGCGACATCCGCTAACCAGCTTTCAGCAGTATATTATTATCAGGAGGGTCGCGGACCCCCCCCCCATGTGGTTTGTACGGTTCTAACCTAACCGTTCTAAAATCCGATGAATTAAATAAGTATACCTGAAGCATTCATCTCCCGTAAGACAGTAAGAGCTGAGTTACTTGAAACGTGAGGTCTTTGGGGCGTCGTATTTACGGACCATATACGAGCTCGGCCACACCTGGCTGAAATGCGATTTGATGATTGACAGTTAGACCTGTGTACATGGTTATCACTTATCAATTTATTAACACCTTGGATGTTTAAAATGTTGTATAACATTTTCTCACTTTTAGTTTTTATAATTTTTGTTATTTTCTCCTATCCTTGGAAAACCTATTGTGTTTAAGAAAAAACTTTTGAACTACCTACTTTTAGCACCCAGAATATGGTATTGAATAGACATCTTAAATATATAATGAGTATAAAAATATATAAAAATCAACATTTTACATTTGTACAATCTATAATCTATATAGTATTATGGAATTTAATTTTTTTTCGTAAATGTGATATTATTTAGTTTTTCATGAGTATGATATTTAAATAATACAATTTATGTAATGGCAATGAAACGAGCAATAAAAAATAGGATTTCAGTAAATGTACATACTTTTTACTTATAAAGGAAATTTTTCCAGACTAATTAATTAGCATGTTATATAAATATATACACCAACTTATTTATAAATCAAAATAGACTACATAACATGCAGTTTCCAGCTATAATTTTGTATTTAATTGCATTGTATTAATTTTAAAATGTATTCTCCTGCCGGTGTCCCTAGACATAGTTAGTTAGCCCCTTTACTAAGATTTGACCCCCCAAAAATATCGCTTATTGATTTAGATATATAAGCTCCCTATGCGGGTTATTTTAAATAAATAGTTTTTTTAGGTGTGCTGTAGCCCCCCGTCCAGAATTTCAACCCTAGTTTCGCCTATGCTACGTATGACCTCTTAATTTTAAAAACTATAGAATTTATAATGATTCATGGTTAAATACATTATATATCATGTTTTCCAAAAAACGTAAAAAATAAATATAGGTATTATGAACAATTCCTATGTTATAGGTTTTATATGTTATACATGTCGAAGTAGAAACTGATAGCTGCGCAATGGTTTTATCATAATCCAATTATGAAAAAATGCATAAAAGATAACTTTTTAGAAGGAAAGTTGTACTCCGGTAGTCCGGTCCAC